TATTTGGTTTGGGGTGGGATTCAGCTTATTTTTAAATAAATTTCTAAGGCATTTGAGTTTATTGTCTCTCAATTTCCTTTTATTTCTTTGACGCTCTTTTTCTAAGTCAGAAAGCTGTAATTATGCGAATACAATTTCAGCACATTCATAACTGCAGAGCATTTTCTGTATCTATAGAACCACAATTCTAATCTCCCAAGTTACTTACTCATAAGCAAATCTAAGCCCCTAATAGTTTCATTGTTTGTCCTTAGAGCCCTTTTATTTTTCGTCTTTATTTTGACAAGGCAAACAAAACCAATGATACTTTATCTAAAAGTACACTAGCCATTTATGTAACAAAAACATATAAAGGCCGTAACAGGTCATGCTGAAAGTCCACCTTTCTCAGTGCCTTCTAACAGCTTCTGAGATGCCCCCAGCAAATAGAGCATGCTGTTGGGCTGCCCTGCCTTCAGTTTTCTTTCAGTTTCTGCCTTCACATTTTTCACTTTGATGCATTCCCCCACTCTACTTTCTCCTATTCCCCCCCCCCCCCAGGTCACTTAATTTCTCCCCAATGTATTTTTCTTCATTCCACCCCCTTTAGCCCCCACGTAATTCCTTTCTTCTAGTTGATGTAAAACCCGAAAACGTGACTCAAATTTTTACAAACTTTATTTTGGATCATTGATATATCAATGTTTTCAGGTCTTCAAACATCCAGGAGAGCAATTTCTAACTTCTCACAAGGCTCTAAAAACAGCCTAGACACTGCAATATATAAAAGATGCAGACTGTTTATACATAAATACAAGCACTGAACATCTGATTTTACAAACATACGTTGTGTGCACTGGAAAGCCAGACATGATGCATCTACACCCAAAAAATCAAGAAGAGATTTAGACCAATGCTAAGAAGATCCTGGGGGCCTGGCTCAGGCAAGGTGGATGTATCAAGGGACTACTAAGCACAAAGGTGTTCTTTCAGACTAGATCAGAGTTCAGTCCCTCGACTATGTATAATCACAAAACAGATATGCCATTTAGAAAGACTGTTCTTTGAGATGTTACTGACATGTATATTTATAGTGACTATATCTACACTGTAATCTGAGTTTATTTTTAATGACAGCAGTATCCAGGATAGCATACCTTCTATTGATAAGAATAATTTAGCTATTTAAGCAGTTGCGTGTTTTCCTTTCAATCAAGGATTCCCAAACTCTGTATGGACTACAAAGGGAAAAGCCAAAAGGAAAGTACTTATGAAAATGGAAGTCTCAACCAATGTCTCTAAAAGGAATATTAACAGGTAAACAGCTATTTTTAATTCTTTTGAGTGCCTGCCATGGGAGAGAAGGAAAAGCTCTTGCCACACAATTAATGAGGGTGTCATAATGCACCCTCCCTTCAGGTATTTATATTCATTAATAAGATGCCTTCCAAGCCTTTTCTTATTCAAATTAAACAGTCCCACCTCTCCCAGCCTTTCCTCATATGAAGGACTCCATTGTAACTGGACTCTCTCCAGCTGCTCTGTATCTCTATTGCACTGGGGAATCCAGAACTGGATCCAGCACTCCACATATGGTGGAAACTTTCAAGCTGTAAATGAACAAGGTGCTAGATAATCTCATCTAGGCTCCCTTTTCCACAACAGATTGGACCAGATGATCTTCTGAGGTCCCTTCCAGCCTGAGCTGTTCTATGAACTTGGTGTCCACTAGGACCCTGATGCCTTTTTCCCCAAAGCTACCTCCCAGATTGATGTCTCCCAGTATATACTGGGGCCTGGGGGTGTTCCTCCACAGGTGCAGGACTTTGCACTTGCCCTTGTTAAACTGCATCAGGTTCCTGTCAATCCATTTCTCCAGCCTATTGAGGTCCTTCTGGATGGCTGCACAACCCTCTGGTGTATGAGACAACGGGTTGCTTATATACTGTCAGTTGTAATTTTTCTAAATTATTCACAACTGTGGTCTCATGACCTGCCCATCACATCTCTTGGCAGGAGCACAGTACAAAGATGCATTAGGCATAATCAAGTTTATCAGGGCATAGCCAGACTCAGCAGCTTCATCTCAAAAAGAAGAATGACATCTCCAGGGAAAGTTAAAAGAAACTAATGGTGATCCTGGGAATAAGGGCAGGATGCAGCAGATCCTGAGTCAGCAGCAGGGGATAGGATGGTGGAAGGACCCAAGGCAAAGGAGAAGAGTCAGAGATAGAGCTGGAACAAGTAAGAGAGGCTGCAATTGATTTTCTCAGACAGCTTGATTATTTTTTTTTTGAGGGGGGGAGGGGGGGTGTTAACTATTTTCCTTTTAGAAAACAACAGATACATACTAAATTACTTGCAGGCAGCTAAAGAAATATGAATTAAAGTATTAAACCAATTACACAAACCTCTAGTCAGTCCTGTTTCTCAGTTTTTCAAAAGCATGCAAATAGTTTAAAAACTGATAATATAGATGTCCTGAAATTACTTCAGGAATTATAGAGGATTATATCATAAGTAACATCACCAGAAAAGACAAAAACAAAGGGAGTGAAAACTATAACTGAGACTGATACCACTGATACGAGAAAGGATAAATAGTAGAAAGGCAACATAATTTGCAAAAATATGTTGACAAATAGTCCAACTACACTCTGAGTCATCCTAAAGATGAGCAAATAACAATTTCTCTATAAACACAATCATGGGCATAGCCCATTACCTATGACAGCTCCAGTGATAAAAAGAATATAGAATTCTATTTATACAGGCTGTTGATGAAGAACTTCATGCACATGTTAAATAGTATGGCTTAAAAGAATAATAGAGGTTGATGAAAAACCTATATCCTTATCCTTTTTCTTCTTTGCATCTTCTGCCTAATACAGAAAATAGTAACAATATCTACTTGTGGCAGAGTATCTCTAAGCAAGCAGAAAACTGACAGCCTAATTCTAACGATAAAAAACACGTAAATACTAGCCTAAATATATGAGTCTGAAAATCACAGCATCTTCATCTTCTTAACCTGAATACGCATTCTCATTCTAAACAAAAATTCAATCTAAATCCATCATTACTCTACCTAGACTGAATTGGCATTCCTTCTTTACCCCTTGCAAGGCACACTTTCCCATTCTACAATTGCCATTCAATTGGCAATAAGGGCTCTCAAGACCTAGATCTCCCACACTTGGAGACCAATGACCTCATCCTGAAATTAATGACTACAGTGGAGAGACTCCCTTTGTCATAGGCAATAGAAGTGAGCCTAAACTCCACTATTTCACAAGTGAAGAGACCAGAGATAACAGCTACCTATCGCTCTTTTCTTCAGAAATCTAAAGAAAGTTATGAAAAAAAAATTCTTCATTCCCAATTTTCTCTCAGTGATTCCCAACCCTACATAAGCACCTTCTTAGGACAGGTGTCATACGTCCTTGGAAAACAATGCAGAAGGCTCTACCTGTGACAGCTTTGCCACCACTCAATTGTTTCTTTCTTAAATTAGTGGCCTCAATAGCTAGTGGAACTGAGGCAGAAATAGAAGAAGATTAGTTAGGAGTAGATTAATGTCCCATTTCCATGTCTTTATGAGAACTCCAAAAATTGTGAATATACATAATAAGACAAATCCTGAAAGAAGTCTGGAGAATCTGCAGCAATATCGACTAAACCACACAACAAACTGATGTCCACACCACGTCATTCATTTCAGAGCAAAACAGAATGGGTGTTCCCTTCAGGAAAGGGATCTACCTCCTCCATAGGAATCCTTTTCTTTGAGGAGAGGATGAATGAATATTTCGGGCACAGATGTGAAGCTCATTTAAGCAATCAGACAGAAGTGATTTCCAGTAATCACTTGTCCCCTGCTTTTCTCATTTTCTATGGAACCATTCCAAAAGTATAAAAGGCACAAAAAAAAAAAGAGAAACTAGCCCTATGGAAGCAGTTAATGAATACCTCTCAAGGAATCTGTCAAACAGACATTTAACATGGACAGCAATGGTGAAAGAAAAAAGGGCACAGAATCATAGAATAGTTAGGGTTGGAAAGGACCTTAAGATCATCTAGTTCCAACCCCCCTGCCATGGGCAGGGACACCTCACACTAAACCATGCCACCCAAGGCCTCGTCCAACCTGGTCTTGAACACTGCCAGGGATGAAGCATTCACAGCCTCCCTGGGCAACCCATTCCAGTGCCTCACCACCCTAACAGGAAAGAATTTCCTCCTTATATCCAATCTAAACTTCCCCTGTTTAAGTTTTAACCCATTACCCCTTGTCCTATCACTACAGTCCCCAGTGAAGAGTCCCTCCCCAGCATCCCTATAGCCCCCCTTCAGATACCGCAAGGCTGCTATGAGGTCTCCATGCAGCCTTCTCTTCTCCAGGCTGAACAGCCCCAACTTTCTCAGCCTCTCTTCATACAGGAGGTGCTCCAGTCCCCTGATCATCCTCGTGGCCCTCCTCTGGACTTGTTCCAACAGTTCCATCTCCTTTTTATGTTGAGGACACCAGAACTGCACACAATACTCCACGTGAGGTCTCACGAGAGCAAAGTAGAGGGGCAGGATCACCTCCTTCGACCTGCTGGTCATGCTCCTTTTGATGCAGCCCAGGATATGGTTGGCTTTCTGGGCTGCAAGCGCACACTGTCTGCTCATGTTCATTTTCTCATTGACCAACACCCCCAAGTCCTTCTCCACAGGGCTGCTCTGAATCACTTCTCTGCCCAACCTGTAGCTGTGCCTGGGATTGCTCCAACCCAGGTGTAGGACCTTGCACTTGTCTTTACAGCACCTTCTAATCCTTTGGCAGGTATTTATAGAAACCACTTTAGAGAAAGCGTAGAGCAGGCTGCTTGGGAATCAACTGTTTGCTACCAAGCTTTTCCTCACCAAAGGCACCTATGTTTCTAAGGAGTCCTGCAACGACATCTAAGCTTTCAGAACATTGAAAAGTTGGAAGAGGAAAAAAAAAAAAAAAAAGAATAAAATTCATTTTTTCTCACCAGGGAAACTGTTGCTCTTCATCAGCAAATTTGCCATCACTGCTGACACTTCTGTTGAAATATATGAATGCAGAAAACATTTTAGAACTTTCATTTCTATAGCAATCACAATAGATGGCAAGGCACAATGGCTGGATGAAGATATAAACAAAACTTAGGTTCCTTATGGTTGTCAGAAATTGCTCCTTGCTTTCCTGAGGCAACATGTCAATAAATCCAAACTATTTCAATTAATCTACCTATTCTAATTAGATGGCTATTTGAAAAACAGAATTGCAGGCAAAATGACGCACAACTCTTTTCCTCAAAAGGTCTTTTTCTCTTCTCCTTCTCTCTTCCCCTCACTCCCCAGTATCTTTATAAAGCGGTAGCGATTTCATCAGCACTGTTCATCTCTTCATCAGTCCTTGGGACGACAAAAGAATCCCAGATGGAGCAAGTCACTTTGTGGAATACTTCCCTTCTGTTCTTTTTGAAATAATAGTAATAGCATTAAAGTCAAGAATCACTATGCTATTTTGGCATGCTCTACAGTTCCATCAGAAAAAAAAAAATAAAAAAAACCAACAGCTTTATTGGAAAAGTTATTTTGGTACATATATAGGAACTGTGGGGAAAGGGAAGTAAGGAGCCTCATGCACTTTCTCTTGCATGAAGTGTACTATTTCTGTAATTCTCTTTCTTAATTCCTGCAAGGATTTTAAATCACTAGGATACAGAACTGAGCCTGACAACTGCTTCATATGGAGAATGACAGGACTCCAGGTGATGCAAGTTTTCACATTCCTTTAAGCCTTCATTCTATTACTCCTGAATACAATGTACTTTAAATAGAAATATCTTTAAATTTCATACAAGATGCCTCAAGTATTTATGACATAGAAGCAACCTAATCAGAGCAATCATCCAGTACCTGTAAATATGTTATATTGAGAAAGAATGACGAAACTGTTACTGCAATAACACCTCTGTGGTACTGGAACCTTTTATATACAACTCCTACGAGACCAAACTCAGTGAACTATACTGAAGGATAGGTTTGTGGTATCTTTCAACTACCCTGTCAGATGACAAATGGCATCTCTGAACTCAGAAAAGGATACAGATCAGCATCTGCCTGACTTGTGAGTATCATATGTGAATACCAAACCAACGTGTCTATTGGCATAAGTCTTAGCAATGAGCTAGAATGTATGAGGGCAGTTGAGATTACCTAGAGCCATTCCATCATACGATGGCATGAAATACTTGGGCTGATACAGATGAAGGATTTTTGTCTAAAGGGAAAGCATTTTGTTTATTTTTGTGCATACTGCAGCACTGCAGGTATGTCTGGTAGTCTAAGCCATATGAACACCTAAATGTTGCTAGTGATATTTGGCACAAGGGTATAAAGCAGCACAGGCAACATTGACAAAAATAATCTCCGTCTCAAGTCCACAGAAAGCATGCACAACTTGCAAGAGAAGGTAAAGCACCATTCAAAAACATAGATCTTGCATACAGCACAAGAAGAGGGAAGAATAGTACGTTGCTCTTCTATTTTGAGAAAACTAGTCAGAACAGGATTGGAAAATATTATCTTAAGGCCAGTAATTTGAGAACTAATTGAAGGGAGATCCACCTACTTACAGAAGTATTCTTCCTAGTTCAAACATGGACATAATATGCTACATGCATTAACAATCCATCTTTTATGGTTAGAATCATTATTATTTTAGCTATCATCTTAAGAGTCTGAAAAGTAAGTAAACAGGTCAAAAAGAAATTAAGCCAACAGAAGTTATGCAAAACTAAGCTTGACAAAATATTCTTCAAATATGCATAACGGTACTTGAAGAATATAAAATTGAAAATACATCATTTTCCCCTTTCCACTCATATTTTCTAAAACTCCTCTTACACAGAGAAAGAGAACAGAAAATGTCCTAGAAAACCTCATGTTGCAACAAGCAGTCTTTTTGCTAATAGGCCTTTCTCTTTTTTTCTCCGCCTGTTCCTAAGAATATGTCAGTAGAGAAACATGTCCTTCACCCACGTTTTTCATTGCTGGGTTTATTGTCTCATTTTCCCTCCCTCCATACTCATGAAACTATTTCTTTGCTCCTACAAGTCTCCAGTCTTTTCTTAAATCCTCTTTCAGTTTAATATACAAGAAGAGTGCTATGATAGCTCTGCTATGTATCATTTGCTATAACAGCCTCAATGGACAACATCCTCTAAGCTATACGATACTATCAACAAGCTAGCAAATGAAAGGCATTTCATTTTATAAAGCTAAGAATCTACTCATTAATATCAAAGGTGTTTAAAATGCCCAGGTAAATAAGTTTTTCCTAAGCATATATACATTCTAGAAAGAAAATATCTGTGGGCAAATATTTACATTTAACATTGACCAAGTGTTTATAGGATGCGTTTTGAAAATAAACTGTCATTTATTCTTTGTTGTAGACTCTTAGTTCTGTCTATGTTATTAGCACAAAACAGTTGTTCATTCAACTAATAATGCAGCAACTGATACACCTGCTGAACATAGTGCCACGGGCTATTTCTTCCTGTGCGAGAATTCAGATCTGAATCAAAAGAGGGGAAAAAAAAAAAGGGGAAAAAAAAAAGGGAAAAAAAAAAGACTCAGTTATGAATTACAGAATGGATGTATTGATCTAGGTTCAGAATCAGGCATGTGCATGCATCTCATCAATCTCTTATGCCTGTTTGGTCATAAAAATAAAATTGAACTAAAAAAATTCAAAGCCAAAAAAAAAAAAAAAATCTGTCTGCATTGGCAATGAGTTTAAGCCTGATTTTTGTGTATGATCACGTATTTCCCCAATACTAGAACTGAAAACACAGCTCTACTCATCTGTGGAGCTAAAGGAAAAATGTATATACCTTTAAAAAAGAGGCTTGAACTGTAAAAGCAAGCACACTGAATTTAAACTTGAGCATTCTATATGCAATTATGAGACAACTTAGTTTCGCAACGTTAATGATCAAACAAAGTTATTTCACATCATGCAACTTACTACCAGCAATTTTTGGACAAATCAAGTCTTTTGAGTGTAGAAACTTCTTAAGAACAGAAGTGTAAAGATTTTTTTTTTATTAATAACCTAAACATAGTTTTGTTGTAATGCATGAATAGTGCTACCTTCAAATTCCACCAATTTTAAACATTTTGATACTTAAAAAGTTAAATATATAGGAAGAGGGTTGTGTGGAAGGCGCACATTACTATACTCAATCAATACTGACCTTTCTCCTCTCATTTGAAACAAAAGTTTTCCAGCTGTCCCTTTTAAGAAGTCTCTACTCTCCAATCCGCTGACATGCTCATTACAAATTAATTGTCTGCTTTCACCATTCCATGGTGTGTTTGACCTTTGCTCTGCTAAGCAGTCATTATTAGTCCTGCAAAGATTATTCATCATAGCTGGTTGTTCAGAATCTAGCTTCTCTTCCTCTGAAATAGCCAAAGAGAATACATTTTGTAGAAGTATTCATACACAATAAATACACAAGACAGAGCTAAAATGAACTGCTGTTTGGCATGTTACATTAAACGTGCTTGTATCAGTTTAAAAAGTGAGAAAGCTTAAGAATAATTAGAGTGAAGTATAAAGTCATTAAGTCTTTCCATAGAATCATAGAATAGTTAGGGTTGGAAAGGACCTTAAGATCATCTAGTTCCAACCCCTCTGCCATAGGCATTCCATTTTGTGTTTTAACATTTTTATCTTTAATCATTTTTTTTTATTTTCCTTTTAGAGATAAGTGGATTGTACCATGTGAAAAAAGTGATTATATTTCAGGATCTAAATATTATGACGGAACTCACTCAAAAAGTAGCTGTTAATATTGCACCTTGGTATCTACACGTGACAAGAACATGCCCAAAAAACCTTACATAAACATTTGCACGATCTCCAAAGAAGAGAAGAGAGGAAACTCAGGCTATAGCTACATCAGGTTCTCAACTTCTTCAATTAGTAACATCAACTTATCCAGGCTAATGGATTAAACTACATCTACGATAAACTGCATAAACTACTAAATACACATCTATAGAATATGTACACAATAATGAGGTAAAATTTAGTACTTTTTGTGTAAGACTTATTTTGCAGTAAGGTAAAAAGTGAGATATTCAGTTTATCATGTAAAGTAACAATCCCAAGCCATGTAAGAATTGTCATCATTACAAATAAGTCTTCATTAAAAACAGATTTCCAACACGTTTTACAATGAGCCAATGTGCAGGAAACGGAGATGTCAAGACATTTCCATCTGCAAAAAATTACTTTTAAAGTCCATGTTTTGTGACCTTTATTAAGTCTCCACTAATGAAACTCTTAACAACAAATGCAATGTAGTTGGAAGTGTGTCAAGACATATAATTTCTTTTTACTCCTCCTTTATACTCAATAATCCATCAGGGAATCTCCTTAGAGGATGCCATCTCATTATCTCTTTAAACATTTCAGCAGTTAATGTTAATTTTACCCATTGAAGAAAACTTCCAGTAAAAATTCCATTACTTAGAAACCTGTAGGAAAAAAAAGGCACGTGTAGCTTTCAACTCACTTTCAGAAGTGAAAGCCAGTATAATTTATTAAATCATATTTTCAAAACTGCCTTAAAGCCAGGTAAGTAATTTTTAAATTTACTCTGAAAGGACATGCAGGTCATTTAATAGAATAATTCATGTAAGTAACAATATTAAAACCCATCACACAGTTATTTTTCTAGGAAATAATATATATTAAAATGTTCTTACTCTGATCAGAAGGCACCGTTTTAGCCAAAAGGAAGTTTCCCCAAGAAGTTCTTCTAAATAAGTGTGCCCGAGCATTGCTGACTTTTCTGATCTCTGCAGCATCAGCAAGAGTTTTTGGAAAGGAAATGGAAGAATCTTCATCTTTTGCAGAAGTGACTAATACCGGTTTCTGTGGCAAAGATAAAGACAATGTTTTAATAAAAGCACAGATAATTTCACTTTCATATAAGCAAAAAATGCAAATTATTTACACAAAAAAATTAAATTCAGAATAGGATAGATAGAAGTCCATAGATTTGCTCATTAATAAATTTTCATATAGATTCCACTACCTTTTATCACCACAGAAAGCCATTAAAAAGCAAATATTCAGGAAGGGGCAGAAAACAAACAAAAACTAGCCTGAGTAGAGCAACTGAAACTCAGGATCATTTATTTTCCTCATAAATACTCATTTAGCATCATCTGCAGTATGATTATTTGTAAAAAAAAAAAAAAAACAACTAAAAAATGTTGTGCCAAAGACCAATTCTAGAGGCATATTTGTTCTTCATGATTCAGTTTTGAGCATTAAACAAGTATTTCAAAAACACTTCAAATGCGTTCATATCACATGTACCACTTCCTATCACACTAAAACAAATCATGCAGATCCAGACACATGCAAGTTCCAGCTTTATTTATGTCAGTACCTTGCATTTGAGGATGTGGCAAGGCCCTGAACCTGTGGTACAGAACACTTCTTGTGCCCTAAATGAAGACATTGCCCTCTAAGATCAAGGCTGTCTACCAATTTCCTTACAATAAAGGATCCATTCAAAAGTCTCCAGTCCAATCCTCCAGAGCTCTCCCCATTAGCAAACAGGTGAGAAAAAGGTGAGCAAACAGCCACCGTGACTAACACAAGCTTTTCATTTACAATGTACTAACTTCTCTCCATTGGTAAAGTAGAAAAGGCAGGTTTTGCATTGGTCTTAACAGATACTCTTCCACTATCATGCACAAGATAAATGAAAACTTAACACCAGTTATTAAATACAACTGCAGATACATTTAATCTAAGTATGGTCATAATTTTTAAGTTTGATTCACATAAACATGTTACCTTATCAAAGTTATTGAAATATAACATTTCTTAGATTTCCCCTCCCTAATCTCCTAAAGAATATTATCTTGAAGAAACAATATATGCAGCAAGCATACTTACCTGTTTTAGCACGCTCTGGTCTCTCAGGTACTAAACAAATGATCATGACTCAATCTCATATTTAAATATTAAATAGAAAAAAATTTGAAACAGAAGATATGTTTATAAATTGGAAAAAAAACAACAAATTTTTCACAGAGAGGGAAAAATTTTACAAGTACTTCTATTTGTTTTTAAATACACTACAATCATTACCTTTTATAGATGTGTAAGTCAAATAGAAAGCACAATCAATCTAGTGTAAGTCAAATAGAAAGCACAATCTAGTTACTTTCAAGTCATTGATCACAGAACCACAGCATAGTTGAGACGGGAAGGGATTTCTGAATGTTACCTTGCCCAACCCCCCTGCTCAGGTAGGACACCCAGAGCCCATCGCTCAGGACCACATCCAGGAAGATTTGAAGATCTCTGAGCAACCTGTATCAGTGCTTTGTCACCCGCATGGCGGAAAAAGTGTTTCCTGAAGTTTGAAGGGTACCTCCTGTGTTTCAGTTCGTGCCCCTGGTTCTGGCATTGAAAAAAAACACTACCTCTGTTCCCCTTCCCCCCTCCGTTTTTTGTTGGTTGTTTTTTTTGCACTCTCCCTTTGGATATACATGGATAAGATCCCCCTGTGCCTTCTCTTTTCCAGGCTGTATGTTGCCAGCTTTCCCAGCCTCGGTCCAGGCCTTTCATCATCTTTTCTCATTGTCTTTGTGGCCCTTCATTGGATTTTCTCCAGTAGCTCTATGCCTCTCTTTTAATGGGGAGCCCAGAATTGAATCCAGCACTCCAGGTGTGGCAACTCACTGGCAACACTCCTCCTAATGCAGCCCAGAATACCATTAGCCATCTTTTTAATAGCAAGGGTACGTTGCTGGCTCATGTTGATGCTCATGACCTTTTTCTATTTCAGTAATCTTACACAAAGAAAGCTGACTCAAGTATCCATCTTCTGATTCTTGTTGATGTCACTTAGAAATATAATGCAATACAGAGATATTTAAATAGTTTTTAATTATTTTCAGATTTCTTTTGGGGGAAAAAAAGTCAAAACTGACTTTTGAAGTCTCAGACTAACATTACAACAGCCTTCCACTCCTCCCAACCTATTTAAACTGTATCTTTTCCTTACGCTACAAATTAATGTATTTTTACGTCAGTATTTCCCGAGTTATTTCTAGAGTACTGTGTCAGGAACAATAGGTAATGGTCCATTGTGAAACACACAAAGATAGAAGAGTACTGTTTGTCCACTTTGGCTCCTCCCCGGAGAGTCCTGCTTTGGCTGCTCCCTGGAAAGGCCAGCTTTGGTTCCTACCCGGAAAGTTCCACTTTAGAAATCCCTGGAAATGTCTCGACCCTTGGAGACCTTTCTAGATATTGCTGGACACTTCTTCCATCTTAGGCTGGCCCCCTGCATCAGAACAAGAGTGCATTTTTGTCAGTATAAAAGCCCGAGCCTCATGCGATGTGGGGGAGGCAGAACTTCATACCACCCAGGTCAATGTTGCCTCCGCAGGGACAGCCGCTAAGGTTGAGCCTGTCTCCTCGCACTGCAATGACGATTCTCTGAGCTGGTTTCCTGATCGTCTTAACAGGGTCCTTGGGGTTCGTAAGATAACCAAACATCAGAAGTATCCTTGACCGTATCCTTTACTATCTCTATATTTTCCTATATTAATAAACTAGTTGAGAGTTCTCTATTTGTCTCGTTTTCTCTCACCTGTAATCCTCAAACTCTGGAACAAGTACTTACATGTTTCAGTGGGCTAAGACGAACACCAGACAGTGGTCTTGATTCAGCCAAATCAAAACTGGATGCATGAAGACTAGTGTAAAGAAATTAAACATAATATGAATAAAGCAGAGCCAACATTTTGTGTTTTGGGGATTTTGGATCTGGTGGGGTTTTTTGGTTGGTTGGTTTTTATTTTTTTGTTTGTATTTTATTACTTGCTTCTTGTATTTTCCAATGAATATGGTGAAAAGGAAGAAGAAAGGAAGACTGACAGAGCACTTTATCACTCTTTTTCCATGAATTCTATTTAACTTTGATATGTGGGAATCCAGCAGCACCAAGAGAGAAGAATTAAAAGATCGCTTGCACACCTGCCATCACACAGCTTACTTCATACACATCTACAACATACAAGCCTAAACCCACCCACAAACTAACTGTGGTTAGTGCCCAAGGTATCTGACACAAGCTGCAGAACACCACAGGGCAGAAATCACACGTTTGTGTAGGCATAAGCATGCTCCTTCCTGTACACATGAGAAGCACAGGCAGAATAATCATGGATGGCAGCCGGAGGGATCTCATTACCTGGTCACCAACAAACATCAAGTCACTCTCAGGCTCTCGCCTCCTCTGAGGACACAACATGATGCAGTAAGGAGTATCCAATACATTGTGTGCCTGAAGTCATGCTGCCATGAAAACAGCATGGACACTGACTTACTTGTACGGCTTTTCCAACACGTTTCAGTACCCTTTCTGGCATGCCTGATACCTAACATTATGAATACAGTTCCTATCTCCTCCCTACAGTCACTACAGAATTGGCATATACAGGAGCTAAAAAACTAACTGGGAAAATGGATTTTAAAAGCCCAATATACAACTTTTTTCTCTTTTGTCACAAGAGACATATTTATTGAGCTCTGTGAATTATAGTACTTAACAAAATGCCACACAAATAATTCTGAAGTAGTATAAATTATGATTAAAAATGAGCATTTCAAACTTCAAGACCTACAATTTATGACTAAAAATACCTGAGAAAGCTCTGAAAAAAAAGATCTAGCATACAGTTTATGTGGAAACAAGCAAGCTTTCTCAGTTTCTTTTTTTTTCACAGGGAAAAAACTGAAGCATATATATGAAAAGCCTACATTGTCTTAAGAAAAAAGTGAGGTACTACTTTCCTATACTACTCTTTACATACAAAACTACTGTAAAGTCTGCCTCTGGTATCTCTAATCCACAGGAACTTCCTGGACATGTAGATTAACACCAACAGTAAGGATCATTAGAAGGTGGCGAAGGATTAGCAATATGAATTAATACAGGGGAAAAAATTCACCGGAAACATAATTACAGAATCAAATCTCTTGTTATTAAAGCATATTTGGAAAAAAAAAAAATCTTAAAAGCCACAGTACCTAAAAACTGAAGGGGGTCTATTTTGAGGAGCTCGTGAGGATCCAGATCCAAAAAGTCTCCTTTGTTCTTCTGTAGGTGTAAATGGTCTCCGAGTTCTCAGTGTTCGTAGAAAATTTCTGGCTTCACTTATAATCTCAGAACTAGTCTTCTCCTTTGGCACTGAAAGCTTGTAGAATGGTTCTGCCTCTTCTGTATTTTTATTCTTTGAAGCTTGCATTCCTCTGCAAAGTAGTGCACAGGAAGAACACTACAGCATATATGGAAGGCACCGAATATAATGCTACTTCAAAATGACAAACTATTAATTCATCAAAGGTCATGTTCCCACAGTGTAGTTAAAAAGGCTACTATAGCAAAATTCTAGACAGTCCTGCACTATTTCTCAGTTCTGTAGGAAAACACTGAAGAGCAGAAAGCATCTGACATGGAGGACCTTCAATTTTTTAGAGGAAGCTGAAGTACACCACACTCAGTACCACAGTGCTTTTTGGGCCAAATGCAGTACTTTCCAATACTACAGAAAATCTGTTTCTTAACACCTGATTACTTATAAACCATCATAGCCACAACACGAATTCAGTAATACGCTGTAAAGAGACACTTCCTGTCCAATGAACTTAGGAAATCAAATATAAGTTATTGACCTGGCCAAGATGTTTCCTAATAAATCAAAGAGGTATTATTCTCAGTAACAGAAGCACAGTTATCAGCAACCAATAAGCAGAGACAAGGAAGAATAAGCAATCCAATCTGAAAGAAATGCCTCCCCAACCTACCCTCAAGCACATGCAAATGAACTTAACACTAAAATAAGATAAATTGTCAACCCAAACTTTCAATCAGTGTTCTGTCCTGCTGCATCTTCTAGCAAATGCAGTGGGCAGTGAAATACTTGCTTCATTGTCCCCGGAGCCCTCCAAAATCAATCACTATCTTGGTGCAGTTCTCTGCAGATACCATCCTTGTCATTTTACAGAAAATTCATCATGAGCCTTAAACCATTCAAAATTCCTCTTGTGCTTTTCAAACTTACCTAAAAAGAAAAATATGTCTCTGCACTGTCTGTGACTCAGACCATCTGGTAATTTCTATTCTCTCACATAATTTATGACAATGAACCGACAGTAGATCAGACACCAATATCTCAGTTATTTCTAAACTATGGAGGAAAAAAGAAATAAAAAATCCTATTTCTCTAGTTTCTTCGTTCACTTCTTCTTGTTCTGCATTTTCACATGTCCAATTGCCTCTCCTATTTTCTTTGAGAGCCTGTACATTCTGGCACAGTTTCTTCAATTAATACACAACCGAACACCTTCAGCTGAACTACACAAGATAAAATTGGAAGCTAAGAAGCAGTGCACCAACCTCTCTCACTAAAAGGTGCACAATTACAAAACACAGGAACAGATCAGGAGCCTGAGCCTGTCAAGTGTTTTTAATCTTTCTGATTACCATTAATACATCTCTGTGACTGAATTTGGCTCCCTATGCTCCACACTCTTCTCTCTGTTACAACATGATTCAGAAGAGCTAAGTAAGGAATTCCACTGCAGCAGTCTGTCTGGAGCAATTACACAGCCATTCCTCACCGAACAGGGAAGGTAGGTTTCTATTCCCTATTCTCCCAGCTACCGGGAGTCAAGATTTCAACCTTTACGTGAAAGGTCTTCTGCATAGGCCATATATGTGACACTATTAGTATCAAGCAGATGTAGAAACAACAGCTATGAATAAACACTAAACCATAGTTAACATGATTCTACAAATCATAAATTTAAATTAACTTACAAATATTATTTTCTGGTCTATGTATTTCCATCCACCTTGCTAAAATTTAAAATAAATCTTCTCAAGTAATCAACTATCTTACATTTAATCTCTGAAGGACCCTGTTCTTAAAATCTCTGTGCTCTGACACTGAAACATATATTTTTATGGGATTTACATATATGTACCTAACAGTTAAACTAAGAAACAACCTGAGACATAGGATGTGTTTCTGACACATCACTGATACAATCAGCATAAGGTTTTGTTAATTCTGCTATCCACTGCAAATTTTCTATCCTAGAAGTACATTTATTTGCCACAGTTAAGATCAAGCTTCCATTATAATAACTTTTTGTTGAAGCTTTCATCTCTTACCTATTTAACTGTCACGAGAGCTTTGCTATGAGCTTAATTAGTGAAGTCCTTCTATTTGGGCACTGTTAGTCACCCTTCCAATCCATTAAAACCAAAGTTTTAACAATTAAAGTCGCAAAGGGAACCTATGGCTTAGTTCGGATGCTGGACTGAGCCCACTGCTGCATTGATACTTGAGTGGAAAGGCGCGGAGCGGCCTTCCCCGGCGCTGGCGGAGAACAGCCTCCGGCTCCCGACACCGAGAGCAGAGTGGGGCGGGAGCTGTCACTTGGGGGCGGCACCGAGCAGAGCTTGAGACAGCGCCGAACCGATGAGAGCATTAACACCTCGTCATTTCGGCGTAAAGGGGTATTAGACACGCTCGGAATTGAAGTAGTGATACGATACAAATATATCATTAATAGATATCCCATAATTATTAGCCAGAAAATGTAACAGAACACAGAATAACAAGTCAGCAGTGTCACAAAATGTGTGTGTAGATGTACATGATAGGGCAAGAAAGCTTACTCTTTCTTGCAGACATGAAGGATCCGTAAGTAATTTTTTTTATCTGAATGAGTCTGGCTGCTCTGCCATCACTGTGCAACCACTGTCTCTTTCTCAAAAGACAGCTAGAGAAAGAAAATCTGTACTGTTTTGAAACCACAGAATGGTTTGGGCTCGAATGCAACTTAAAGCTCAAATAGTTGCAACCCCCTGCCACGAGCAGGGACACCTTCCACTAGACCAGCTTGCTCAAAGCCCCACCCAGCCTGGCCTTGAACACTGCCAGGGATGGAGCAGCCACAGCTTCTCTGAGCAACCTGTGCCAGTGCCTCACCACCCTCACAATAAAGAATTTCACCCTAATAACTAATCTAAATCTACCCTTTTTCAATTTAGAACCGTTATCCCTTGTTCTATTCCTACTTGCTCTCGTAAGTCCTTCTGCATCTTTCTTGTAGGCCTAAGGCTGACTCATTCAAGCATCAAGCAATTGCTCTGCTGCAGCAGCCCTCAAGAAAGAAGCTTCATCTGCTCTCCAGCGTCCCACACCCCAGAAGCTTTGAGGAAGCCCCTTCAGCTATATCACACCAGTTCTGCTCCTAGAAAACTACCACCTAGATCTGTCCATACAGGAAAAACCCTCCAGTCACCAGAAGCTTTCTTGACTTTGATGAGCATAAGGACCCGAATCATTCAATCACAATGCCAAAGACCATTTTAAATTAAGGTGCAACAAACGAGTACAACAAGCAGAAAGTAGAAGTACAGGATGAAGAAGCAGCACAAGAGTGGAAGGGAAACTACTGAACTGGCTGCCCAGTGTTACAATCTGGTTTTACCCTTGGCTTTCATTGTTTATACAAGCCTAGTTCTACCTTTGTATCTATTTGCAAGAATTTCTGTTTTTTTTTCCCAAACTCTATCCTTTAAATAAATAAAGTATCCCAATTACAAATCAGAAATAATTCTAATTATTAGTGCTCTTCTTGAAAACCCATTATTGTTCCCATTTTGCTCCCCAGTCATAGCAGGGACAGATAAAGGGAATGTCACAGTGTCAATGGGAACAGCATAACTGGTACACACAGATCTTGTCACCCACTGCTGTCACTGTTCCTCAGGTACCTTTTAACTCGTGCACATGAACGGCTCTTCTCTGACTCAACTGGAAGGCAGAATATTACAACAGTGTCAGAAAACCCATACTTAAGTTCTTGTCTTTTCTTCCCCAGTTGTTTACTCCAGAGGACTGGTTTTCACTGTACAGGAAGACTTGAAAGCAGTAGAAAGGGGTACAGGATGAGAGAACATGGAATTAGTCCTAGTGAGATGCTGCACCCATTGAACACTTACCTGGGGCCCACCAGCACATGAAAGAAGCATGGCTTTATGTGGCACCACACTGACTCTGCCATCCTATCTCCCATCGCAAAACCAGTGTCACTTAATTGCTACTGCACAGAATGGGTATACTTGCAATCACTATGTACACTGAGGAGAAACCCTGCACTCGAGCCCTGAACACTCTGCTCACCAACATCTGAACCCAGCTTTTGTCTTCCCAAGCAAATCACTAGAAAAGTTAGCACCCAAACACAGGTTTAGTAAGAGTGAACTAAGAATGGGTATTATTAGACACAATTTTAAACATCAGTGAGCTACCAGTCACGCTTTCAGTATGGTGAAATTTTGCAGCAGAGAAATCACTATCAAAAGAAATGAGGACAAAGTAATGAGAAATTGAGCCTACAGCCCCCAGTAAACGGAGCAAGGTTTTCGGCCCTTAGATACCATGTTCCAAGTAAGCAGCACCGTGGAGCTCAAGCTGACTGGGGCTTTGCGGAGTAACCAAACCAAGGCCGGCAAACAACTCTCCCGGACGCGGTGGATAGCAAGCTGCCGGTAAACGGAACGCAGGTTCTCCTCCTCCGGCCTACTTGCCGCACGCCCTAGCCGGGGCCTCGGCGCCCAGCGGCGAGGGGGCACCCCCGAGGACGAGCATTACTGGCGGGCAGGGCAGGGCAGCGCACTGCAGGCCAGGGCTGCCGCCGGCACCGAGCGCTGGCCGCGGAACCTGCTGCCTAACGGTCCCGCCGACACGTCCTCCCCAGCGGCGGGACCCTGCTACCCCTCACCCGCCTCGACGCGCCCGGTGGCACCAGCACTCGCTGTTCCCATGGCAACAGTACACACCATGGCCGCCGAGCCGAGGGCGAAGAACGGCCCTACCCGGCGGCGCGCCGGGGCCGAGCGAGTCCCTCACTCACCTCCGCCGAGAGAGACCGCGGCCTTTCCGCGGCGCCGGTACCAGTAAGAGCCGCTCGCTCCCCTTAGCCACACCTGCAGGGTCGGGGTCGGGGAGTCCGGAGACGCGAGGGCGCCTGCGCAGGCACCTGAAGGCGCATGCGCATGCGCAGCTCGGTGCAGGCCAGGGCGGGTTGCGTGGAGTTGTGCTAGCATTGAAGCGGTGTCGCTGTGGTTGTCACCGTTGGATGTGCGAGCGGTCCTGCTGCAGCCTTGACCTGTGGAACGATGGCTTTCAGGTGGAGGGCACTTCCCCTGCCCTGTCCTGTCCTGTCCTGGCTCACGTTTGGGGTGTAGAAGCAGGTGGCAAAGGCCCAGGTTAAGGATGACAACAGTTTCTCTGAAATGCTGAATGTGACCTGTCATGATACCCTCTTTCTGGTGTGTGATTTATGGAGTGTACACAGTGACGTTGAAAGTTTATCACAGTAAAACAAAACCGGGAGACAGTGAGGCACTGGCACAGGTTGCCCAAAGAAGCTGTGGCTGCCCCACCCCTGGCAGTGTTCAAGGCCAGGTTGGAAGGAACTTTTGAGCAACCAGCTCTAGTGAAAGCTGCCCCTGCTCATGGCAGGGGATTGAAACTAGATGATCTTTAAAGTCCCTTCCAACACAAGCCATTCTATGAGCTGGGTACAGTGTAGCAGCTGGCACAAAACCTCTTCCCTGGGTCCGCTGATCAGGCATTGAGGGCCAGATCCCTCATCCTGATGGCTTCCTACCAGGCCGCAAGTGCTATCGCATCTCCTGCTCCCCTTCTGTTCTCTGGGAGGCCATTTTCACAATGTTCGTAGCAGTGTTCCACCCAAATCAGTCCCACAGGCTGGAGAACTTTGTTGGTATGGCACAAGGGGGTCACCTGCAGTGTCTCCCCCAAGGTGCCTTCTGGGCAAGGTCCTACCAAAGATGCAGCCACCTCCAGGATTTGGCCTCCATTGCCCAGGTGCACCAGACACTTGCTGAACTGCTCCCTTGCATGCCTTCCACTACAGGGATGGGGAATGTGATCGTGGCCTGTGTCAGGAAATCTCCAGACGTGTAGCAACAAGCAAGATGGGTCTGTTGTAGCAAGTGAGTTGTTCATGACTGACAAGGACAGTCTTTGTTCACCATCTCTGAATGCATTTCGAAATGTATCTAAAAACTGCTATAGGAGGGTGGTTATTGCCTTTTGTGAATAGTAGAAAACCACAACAAATACAGCTCCATCTGAACAACCTTCTTCTGTGGTTCCTTTATAACATACTTAAGATATATCTGAAAGCACTCTCAGAATAAATTCATCTTGTGTATATATTTATATGTAAATATACATATATTTCTGATTTGAAGTTCCTTTTGCTAATTGCTTACAAACATCATAACTTTTACTTCCTCATGTTTGTTAGACAAGAACTGCATGAATGTTTTAAATTTAATTTGTCTTTCTAAATGCTGTTATACATCTGTTATGCCCCTTTCTTCTAGAAAAATGTCCTCTTACAGTTCCTCTTTTGATTTTGACAGGCATTATGATAGCAGTAAAAAGATGTCTGTGTGTAACCCTACCCAGTTTACATAACACATGCCATTATCTCTGCTAGCTTCTACATTATCTCTAATTATTAGACATCTAGCCCTCTTTCTTCTGCAGCCAAGTTCAATACCTCAATACCTCAGAAGTAATGAAAACCCTGTTAGTATTGTACTTGCTTTTCTTTGTACATTCTTCCTCAAAAGCCAAGAGAATGTGTGTTCATGTGCATGCACGCTATTTTCAGATCAGTCACAGCTCATTCTCTGTTGTTTTCTTCTGAACCTTTCTTCTATTGAGGTAATACAAGCAAAGTTTCACAGAAAAATGTGTAGATCTATTTCCTGGTAAAGCCAGTTTGGAGCTCTTTTAACTGTTATCATCTCATCATACTTTAAACAAATTTTAAATCCACCCAGTTAAACCCACTAAGCCTTCCTTCTTGGCATCTTCTTTAATCCTTTTCATATGCACATTATTTCTCCTCTATTTTCTAGGTCATCAAATTGAAGAGTTAATTTTTTATTCATTTTCTGAGCTTTAGCAATTATAGCAAATATTTTTTTTTCTGCAGCTTCTCTGCTATGTCTCAACTGTTACAACTTTCTCACTTAAATCCCTTTTCTCATGGGCTTTTTATTGCATGAACTCTCTTGGCACCTATTTTAAATCCAGGTACTTAATTAAATCTCCTTGTTTGCAATAACACTGCTTTAGAATGGAAGTATCATCAAAACACATAAACTGATTTGGTCTAGGCAAGCAGTGTTAGCTCAAGAGATTGCTGATGTGAAAGCAGTGTGTTCTGAGCAGTTCTGTCTAACTAATGAAATAACACAAAGTACTCAGTTATGTCATATTCATTCAGATTATTTTTCAGATTTGAAAATCATGAAAGGGATTTTGTGCTGCTATCCAGTCTCTATTTTCAGTTTAGTGAACTTAAATCTGTCTCAAAATGAAACTTATTTGGATATCTAAGCATACAAGGCCTATATTTCAGTGCAATTCAGAATTAGTTAACAGTGTTAAACACTTTGCCTGCCAAGTGTTCATTTATACTTGCTGCTTCTTGCTGCTGACCTGTAAGAGCAGCCTCCAGTGCAATTTCATCAACACAAATGGCAGTGCAATCCCCATTTCTCCCTATTTCTTTCCTCTTTTTTCAAAATGAAACAACAGTCCCACCCCCAATCTGGACAAAAACGTTCCTGTCATGTTCAGCTTTGCATAAACCATCTGGTACATGCTGTTAAATAAACTCTGTGTTTCATATCACTCATAGCTCATTACAAAGGCAGGTGAAGTAGTTCATTTTATGGCAGTTAGAAACAGCTCCTGTACTAGATGGCCTAATAAGTTTCAATCAGACAGGTTTATGAAGATCTCCACTACTTGCAGCAGGGAAATCTGTGACAGGAAAAGAGCACTGGTATATGATGAGATGACCAGTTGGTGGGTTATGGGAGAGCGGTATATGCTGTTTATATTAGGTAAGGCTTTTGACTGTCTCCCATTAAATCCTCACAGACAAACTGGTGGAGTATTGTCCATTTAAGTGGGTAGTGAGCTGAATGAAATTGGGCCAAACTGCAGAGCTCAAAGGGTTGAGATTAGCAGCACGAAATGCAGCTGGAGGCCGGTCATCAGCAGTGTGCACCCTCAGCAAGATTGCTTATGATGCAAAACTGGGTGGAGTAGCTGTTACCCCAGATTGTTGAGCTGCCGTTCAGAGGGACCTTGGCAGGCTGGAAAACTGGGCCAAGAGGGATCTTCAGAACCTCAGCAAAGGGAAATGTAATGCCCTGCACCTGGGGAGGAATAACCCCATGCACCAGTACACATGAAGGGCCAATTGGCTGGAAAGGAGCTTGGCGGAAAAAGACCTGGGTTTCCCAGTTGACGCCAAGTTGAACACAAGCCAGCAATGTTCAAAGGTGGCCAACAGCTTCCTGGGCTGCATTAGGAAGACCATTGCCAGCAGGTGGAAGGAACTGATCCTTTTTTTTGTGCAGCACTGATGAGGACACAGCTGGAGTACTGGATCCAGTCGTGGGCTTACCAGTACAACAAAGACACAGACATGCCGGAGTAAGCCCAGTGAAGGACCACGAAGACGACTAAAGGACTGGACTGTCTTTAGTATGAGGAAAGGCCGAAAGAGCTGGGACTGTTTAGCTCAGAAAAGAAGGCTCTGGATGGGATCTTACCTGTGTGTATAAGTATCTGAAGGGTGCAACGAAGATGGAGTCAGACTTCTTGGTGGTGCCCAGTGATAGGACAGGAGGCAGTAGGCACAAATGGAAATACAAGAAACTCCATTTAAACAGAACAAATTTCTATGGTAAGGGTGGTCAAACACTGGAACAGGTTGCTCATAGAGGTCTCCATCTTTGGAGGTATTCAAAATCTGGTTGAAAAACTCCCTAAGTGACCTGCTCTAGTTGACTGCTTTGAGCAAGGGGGTTGGATTAGATGATCTCCAGAGGTCCCTTCCAACCTTAAATATTGTGTGATAGATTTTTTTTTTTTTTTTTTTTTTTTTATTCCTTAAAATCTTATTTGGATTTGGCTGAAATTTAAGATTTTGGAAATTGACATGTCTGGCTTGCATTGCTCAGTGTGATGTGGTCACTGTGCCAGCATCCTGCAAACTCTGCACCTTACCTTCACTCTGACCAGCTCTTGATTCCCTTCATCCTCACTGTTCAGTCCCCCCCCCCAAGATTTCCCGATGTAGTTGTGCCGGCTTCCTAAGTGAAATACCCTTCAGTTGGTATGTTTGTGCTGACACACAGCATGCAAGGACTTCTTGTACCAACTAAGCATTGTAAGCAATCTACCAGCCGCACACCCACTATGCAATTGTCCCTACATCAATGACTGCTTTCATTGAATTCCTGTTAATTCTGCTGCCTCTGTGAGTGACTGGAAATCCCTGGCATGTTAGCAGAATGCCTGCTTTTCTTCTGGTCTGCCTTTTGACTGGACTAGACAGACAGGATTCCACATAACTTTGGTGCTGCTACTCAATCTAAAACCCAAATTTCTACAGGCAGACCTGGAAGGGATGCTTGGGGAAACAATAAAAAATAGGTATGGAAGGAAAATGTGAAGCTCATGGAGGCCACAATCCAATATAAAGTGTAAAAGCAGAGATAAGGCCCAATGCCAGGTAAAGAAGAAAAGGCAGTTTATTTTCTCGCAGGACACAACCTTAAGTTTAGAGGTCCAAGGTGTTTCTTTTAGGACTGGTTTGTTATATACACCTTTTGATGGTTGTGTGTTCATTGCAGGGAACATACTGAGCTGGTATACTGTTCTTATCATTCACATAAGCCTATGAAGGATGCCAAGAACTGGCTTAATCAAAAGAGATTTTGAGGAACAGACGGGGATGGAGTCAAAACTACTGAGATACAGAACCCCTTAGGGAGCTCACTGAACACACATAGCTAATTGAGGAAGGGAATTCACTGTAATAGGGCTGGTGTATTAACATAGCGATCTTACTTTCTCAAGATTTCTTTAGCATAGGCGTTCTTTGACTTTTCCTCCTGCCACATTC